GTGTGTAATTTTATGAGTTTGACTGGAACTTGTATTTATGGTCACTGCAGACAAACAAGGTGGGGCTGCAAGGGAGCACAAAGCTGTTCTAATTGTGGCTGCATGGTGTGCTTCTGGTCCATCATTCTGGACAGTCTAACTCCGGGGATCAAGTGTGCAGCCAAACATGACTGGCATGGTAGAGTGAGGATGAGTATTTGCTCTCTGTGGGTAATGAAGAGTGCTGCGGAGCTGTTAGCCAGATTCTGCAGCCTCTAGGAGGAAGCTGGCGGAGCTGTGGAGTTGGGAGGCTTGGTTAGAAACAGACCAGCTCTCCCTGGGACTGTGTGTCCAGGTTCCTACATTGGGGGCAGGTGGGGACCAGGTGGGGCCTTATCTTCCCAGTTTCAGTCCTTTGAAACCACTCCTCATTTATCATAGTCCTTCTGCTCTGTTCCTTTGATCCTGCTGTATTTTGCTGAGGTAGAATGCTAAGACAGACTCCCTGGAGGCATTTCCAGGAATTATTTTAGGATGCTGTAGAATTTCTGATACATGTTAGTAATCACACCACATGAATTCTTTTTCCAGTGCATGCTATGTTATACCATACAAAATTGCCATTGTTCAACCATATTTGGAATGGGTCTGGGACAGCTACATCATGGAGCACAGCAGGTCAAGAGGAGTGACCTGCTCTGTCCAACTTTGTTGCCTGGGGAAGGAGGAGAAGGTGAGAACCTGCCCTAGACAGCTGCTGTGGGATCCAATGATCCTGCACAAGGTGCATACTTGGTTTGTTCTCTAAGGTCACCATGTTCAGTCACAAACACGAAGGGGCTCGTCTGTTCTTCTCTGTGCCTCCCTCGGTGTTGCAAGACTGTTCCTCTTCTGTATGCATTAATGGTAGTGCGCAGCAGTCCTTCTGAGGTGCTTGTGGCCTTTTGTTTTTAATAAACAAAATCTTTTGTCCATAAACCAAAGTAATTGTGACTAAAAAAAAGGTTGCTTTGTTTGCTTGAGAGATTTGATTACATTTTGTAGAGAAGACCTGTGTTCTTGGAACACTTTCCGCACTCTTGTTTGGAGCACCAGTGTCTGTGGGAGGGGTGGGGATAGGTGAACCAGAAGAAAGTAGAACACGTTCCTGTTCATTGTAATCTCAACCTCCCTATATGCTAAAGTCATTGTTCCTAATAAATTAGTTTCATTGAATTTTTTTTTATTCCAGTGGCTTTCTGTGTTTATTCCTGCATAATTCTCATTTTTGGCTTGAAGTGAATGAGAAGGAAGTCATACTGTAGCTTTGGTGCTTTTCTGAATGTCAGAATGTGACTGCTGGGCCCAGGCTCAAGGGACTGTAGGGCACAGTGAACAGGTGATCCCCCTGTAGTTTTCACCCCAGCATTCCTGAATGTTAACGGAGTCTGTAGCCATGTTCAAGGCTTGCTAGTAAATAAACTCTGAGCTAAGGGAGGTGAGGCTAATGGATAGGATATAATTTTTCATCTACTTTGAGACTTTCATGTGTGTAGCTCCTTGGTCATGAGTGTCAGAACCTAGGAAAGGGATGGGTACTGTGTTATGCATACCCAACCCAGAGTCTCAGCAGCTGCTCACTGCAGGGTGATGCCAGGACCAGAACCCGCTTTCTTTTCTTTCTGACTGTTTAGAGACTTAAGGACTGGAGATATAGGTCAGTGGTAGAGCACTTGCCTGTCCAGCGTGCTTGTGGTCCCAGGTTCGTCCTCAACACTGGGGGTGGAAGAGGCACAGATGAGCAATTGGGAGCGTTGTCATGTTAGTGGTAGGGACTGATGCAGAATCTCCCCATCGCAGACTGTGGTGGCACCAAGCAGGCAGCCTGCAACCTTGCTGACGCCTGGTGCAACGCCTAGGAAGCTTCTGTTTTATAGACAGCTACAAGCAGTCAGTCATGGATGATTGGCTGGGCCCTAAGGCCCTACTTAAAAATCAGTAGCATCCAGTGCCAGGGAGTGGATTTTCTTCATATTTTTCTATTCCAATCGTGGAAATGAATAGGGCACAGAGGGACATGTGACTTTGAGTCTGGCCAGAAATGCATGTACACACACACACACACACACACACACACACACACACACACGTTCATGCACACACCCAGGTACGTTCTCTGAAGCATACTGATCCTTTAAATGTAGCTCCCTTGGCATGCAGAATGAAATAGGGCTGCCTGTCTGTCCTGGGCCGCTCCCTAACCCTCTCCCTGACCTGCTCACCAGATGATCTAGCCTCAAATAGGGGCTGTGTCTCCTTCACCCTCATAATGCCGAGGCAGCCTGGAATCAACTAAGGAAAAGCCCCACAGAGCAGCATGGAGGGGGATTTTGGAATGTAAGTCTTTTGCTCAATCTTCTATTGCTTCTCATCTAAGCCTCATGTGAGGCACTTCTAACTTGGGCATTGATTGAGGTGATAAAAGTTTTTAATAAATGTTTTTTAATAGGAGCTGGGTTATTTTGCCAATTAAGTCAAGCATTAGTCTAGTTGCCATAAAAACAAACATATTCCATTCAGTAACGATATATTTGCAAGTAAAAACACATCACACAATGTTGCAGTTTATGTATTCATGCATGTTTGTTTAATAGAGCCCTGCTTAATTTATAACGGATATTTAATATTTGTTTTGATGATTTAATCTTCTGGTGGTACATGTTTGAAAATCAGAGCATTAATGAAGTGAGTTCATTTTAACTCATACTTTACTCTTTGTCTTACTTAAAAGGTTCATTTAAAAAACTATAGTATTTAAATTTTTACTTGACAAATGGTATAGAAGCTAAAGGATATCAAAAGGTAATAATAAAAGGAAAGTTGTCTGATTACTCTTATCCTTCAACCACCTAGTTTCTGAGCCTAAACTGGCAACTGTTAAGTTTTTAATCTTTAGAAATATTCTCAGCCTTGACAAACATGACCCCCTACTCCCAATGTGCTTTGACTTGTGTGGAGATCATCTGGCTCCATATGTCACCTTGCTCTCATCACCCAGTGGAGCTTGGGGACAATGGCTGTGTTGGGGCCTTGGTATTTTCTATTGGCTGCTTACTCTTCTGTTATATGAATATATACAAATGTACTCAACAGGCATTGGGGTTTGTTAAAACTACAGCAGCAGGGTGACTCTCTGAGCAGCTGGACACTTGTCTATACATTTGGGAGAGTCCCCGCCATTTACCTTTGTCTCCCTACACCATCAGATTACATTCTCATTTTCCTAATAGCCTCTAATGACAGAAAATAGGGTTTTGTTACCTAATTCCTAATGTTAAATAATGGTGTTAGTTAGCATTTCCTGAGAGCCAACTGGGTGTCAGGTCTGTGCTGATGTGGTCCACTCTCTAGCGATTCACAGGTGCTGTCATACCTGTGGTGTGTTAGGGTGGTGATTGGCTGATCAAAGAATGGGTGTTACTTAATATGCAGCCCCTGTATTCAGCCCCCATGATGTTTACTTTGGTGGGCAGGTGTCTTTGAGACAGTGCTGGGAACAAGTCCCATCTCCCAGGCTCCTTCCTGAGGGCTTTTAAGCTTTCCTTTGGAGTTCCTGCACATCAGCCCTGAATACCCACTCTGCCCACTGGACAGACACTTTGTTCCCTGAAAGTCCAGCGTCTCTGCTGTCAAACTCAGGCCTGCCAACTTTCAAAGACTCTTTAAGGTTACTTTCCTTCTCAGACTTGTGTCTTCTCCAGCTTCCTAAGGTGAGCCCAGTTCCTCCTGATCTATTCATTTACCCTTCCCTCAAGCAAGGCCTCCTGTGACAGAGTGTTTCACCTCTCAATACTGGGGCACCCTTCCCTATCACAGCAGGGTCAGAAACATCTGGTCTGGTATGTGATTGCCCATGCCTTCTGTGTCATGTAAACTGTATTCCTGACTTGCCTGGGTTCCCCTAGGAAGCCTCTTGCCTTTCTCCATCATATCCACAGTGGGACTGCACGGTCAGACCCTTGGCTTCCAGTTCCCCATCCACTTGATCCAACCAGCATATATCTATTTGAAAGTGATAGCTCTTCTTGACTTTTAGACGTTTTGTGAAGGACTTGGCTGCTTCTTGGACAATGTAGAATGAACAAGCTTCAACACTTGAGGAACACGTATAGAGAGTGAATCCCATGGAAAAGAGATCAACAGCCCTCAGCTTGACCGTGGCAGGTGGGCTGCCACCATACAAGCCTGCTGTCTGTGCTGACTGAGTGACCATGGTAGCATGTGTGGGCCCTTGTTTATGACAGATGTGACGTATGGGAAGAGGGAAACTCAGGTTGTGAGCAAGGCTCTATCCTTGGGTCATCTCTATTGTGTGGTCAGGAGAGGCTGGCCCTGGTCCTGCTGTGCTGACTGGGTGAGGGGCAAGCACCACTGTAAAGACCCCCAGCTGGCCTGAGTACTCCTCCTCTTTCATGCTGAACTGTCCTGGCATTCTGGCTGGATCTTCTGTGTTTAATTTTTCTCTGAAGATCAAAATTCCAGCAGAGTCCCCTAAACCCCAAAGTGTTGCTTACGTTACAACCATTCAGATTTTTCACAATCTAGTCAGCTCTCATACCCTTTTTTGTGGGATTTCAGAAAAGCAACTATTTTAGTAGAAAACCAAAAGAAGAAAAGTTGGCTGAATCAAGGTTAGTTCTGAGAAAGCCACAGGCTTCCTGCAATGTGTCCAGTTCTGTGGGAGGTGCTGGGAGGGGGTCTTCGGATCTGTGGTGGACACTAAAAAGACCTATAACCTGGGCAGGGAGAAATGAACAGGGAGAAAAAGTCTTTGGTGGTGTTGGATGTGGTGTGTATTACATACTTGGGACTGAGGACCTGCTGGCATCTGGCTGAACCACATGAACTTGGGTAGTCATGGCCTTTCTACGGCAAGGGTTACACAGGGAGGCGGGTCTACTCCCCCTTCAGTGCCCCTTCAATTGAAAACACCATGTTGGGGCTATAGTGTGTAATCTTGCTTTTGGCTTCCTCTCTTGCAGATGCCTTTGTGAACAGCCAGGAATGGACGTTGAGTCGATCGGTACCAGAGCTCAAAGTGGTGAGTGGCACCTTCTGGCCTTGATGATTCACTCCTGCTTGTGGGAGGGAAGTTCCTACAAAAGGTGGGCCATGAGCTAGCAAGCACATCTAAGCTGCATTCTGTCTCCTGGGGTGTCCCCAAGGTTGAGCGTGTCCCTGGGAAGGACCAGGAGTAACTGGGGGCTGGAGTCCTGAGTGTACCAACTGAGGTGGTGATGTGTGTGTAGGGCATGGTCCGTCCACAGGCACCTCACCTTCTTTCTTGTCCTGTCTGTGTCTCCTTCACATGTGCACACAAAGGACTGTTTACCCTTTGCAGGTGTCATGAGGGTTCCTGTATGAGCCATTAAGCTTTGGTAGTTGCAATTTTTTTTTTTTTTAGCAGTTTCAACTATTCACCCTATTGTAAAGTGTTGGCATAAAATTTAAAAAAAGTTTTGGTTTTTATTATGAGTGTTACTAAAAGGGAATTAAAGCTTAAAATTAGCTCATCAGAGTTGTCTATTGCAAGCACTCCCTGGAGCCCCTCCTGATAGTTCACCTCCCACTTTAGGATGAAAGGAAGGGCCAAATTCAAGCTTAAATAATTTGCTCTTTGTCATGAAATGTGGAGTTTGGTCTCTGTGTGTATGTGCATGTATGTATACACATAAGTATTTTAGTTCCTCAGGTGCTGGTCTCTGATAATAAAAGGAAGGCAGATTAGTTCTGGCCGGCTGGCAAGCCGCTCATGGCACGTGGTCCTGGTGCAGGACTGCCTGGTTGCTATGTTTCTTTCTATTGCATTTGCTCTTTTTCCCAAGACAGCTCCAGCTTGTCTCCCAGTGACCCAGCCGAACCCTCCAGGCCCTTGGACGACTCCTGCTGACCACAACCTCAGTGGTGCTTAAAGGATTAGGAGTGGTTGGGAACAGGTTTCTGCCATGTGAGATGAGATAAAGCAAGGAAGAGCTTCAGGTCTTTGAGGAGAGAGTATATGACTTCTGTCACTGGGATAAAGTTGAACAATAGAGTCCAATGTGTGGGGGGCAGCTGAGACAGGAGGGCAGTGGCCCCTGTGTCATCCTGTCCTGTCAGTGTCCCGCACACCCATCCTCACGGCTGTTGCTGGGTGTTATCCTCTGGTCTCCTCTCCTTCCTGTTTGCCTTCATTCCTTCCTCCAAAACACTGACCTTTCTCTGTAGTATTGGCCAATGGGGTTCTTTGAAGCGTCCCTCTTTCCAGGCCTCTGGGTTGAAAGGCTGTGGTTTTGCATACTGGCCCCAAAACATCCGCCTGTTGTACCTTCTCTGTGTTTTGTGACCAGTGTACCTGCACAGTATTTGTCTGTCTAGGATGCTCTGGGAATACCTATAAAATGAATGATCAGTGTTGGAAATGCTCTTACTAGGAGCTTTTCAAAAAGATTTGCTGTTTTCAAATACACCCTGTTAAGACAAGTCCAAGTGTCACTTGGGTTCTGTGGTCAGCACTGAACAGTGGGGACAGTGTGTTAGTGATGATGCTGATGTTTATGAAGGGATGACTTCAGGGCATGTTCTAAGAGCTTTGCGTAATTATTGCTTTTAGTCCAGACAGCTGCCCCGTGAGGGGTAATCCTGTTGTTAGCCTGAGTCACAGGTGAGGAAACTGAAGCTCAGGAGTGTGCAGAGCTTGCCCAGGCAGCTGCTGACAGAGGGTGTGGAGTGGGTTTTGAGTTATCACCCAGGAGAGCCTGCTCTGTGTCTGCCCCACTGATGTGGCACCTCTGGCCCTGCGAGGCCACTGAGTGACTAAAACTTGGCAAGTGTAACTGAAGAGCTGAGCTTTGGGAGTTCACTTCATTTAAGTTAAAACCAGCCTAGTGACAGTGTTACAGACTGACTGCAAGCTCATCCTGACTGTTACAGGTGTTGCAGATTCTGAAAGGGGCCATGTGTTCTTTTGCTTGTTTGTTTATGTCTTTGAGACGGGGTCTCCGTATGTTACACTGGCCAGCCTTGACCTTGTTTTCCTCTTGCCTTAGCCTCCCAAATGCTGTGAATATAGACCTGCTCTGCCACCTCCAGCCTGGCCCATGTGTTCTCACCAGCCCATAATTGAAGTGATTGCTACTAAAAGCTTGTTTTCTACTGGTATTTCAAAAGCCTGGTTTTCTGAAATAAATGCTGAGGGTCTAGTAGATGATTGCATGAAAAGCAGCATGGGCTCTCGTCCCCAAAATGTAACTTTCTTAAGGCTTGATTGAGTTCACTGCCTGGGTTGACTCCAACTCACAGACAAGTACACATTAGTGGTTTGAGGTGGGGTCCCCACGCCTGAGCTGCGTGGATAGGTGAGACCTGGGCAGGGCTCCCAGCAGTGCTGTGGCAGGTGATGTCCCCTGTGACCCCTCGTCTCCTCACGAGCATCTCTGCAGTCCCTTGTGTGTGAAGGATGCTCAGGGTGGAAGAAGAAAGATCACTTTTGTTCTGCATGGCAGCCTCCCAGAGCCAATAGGACTGTGATTGTTCCCTGGACTCGTTTAGCACCCCGAGACAGGTGGCCTTTAGGTCAGTGCCTTAGGACCCCTGGCCCTGCTTCCCAGCACAGCCATTAAATGATGTAATACCAAGCTCCCAATGGACTCTTTATGGCATGTTTTGCAGTGGGTCTTTGGGAATCATCAGAGAAAACAATTCAGTGTTTGCTCTCTTTGTGAGAATGGTGGTGCCATGCTTGAGGCTTTCTGAAGTTGTGCTTTGGTCAGATCATGTGTGACCAGTTGCTTTTGGAGTGGCACATCTTCATGCTTCATGTTGTTTCTGGGGTTCACAGAAATCCTGCAGGGGGGTTTCAGTCAACAGTATGGCAGGTGCTGTTTGTGTGTTTCCCTTGAACTCCCAGCTGGGATTTCTTTTACCAAAAGTTTCCATTTCCTCTGCAGCAAACTCATGTTTAGTGGGTAAGTGGGAAGCAGGGGTGCTGGGGAAATCAATTTTAAAACACAGCATGCTCTGCTTTTGCAGGTACACGTTCTGACTTCGTCAGGATGCCTCATTTCTCCTGATTAAACAAACCCTTTGACCCAAACTGGGTTGAACTTTTTCTCCCTGGTTGACTTTCTCTCTCTCTCTCTCTCTCTCTCTTCTTTTTTCTTTTTGGTGGTACTGGGGTTTGAACTAAGAATCTCCTGCCTGCAAGGCAGGTGTTCTACCACTTGAGCCACTCTGCCATCCTCCCTGGTTGACTCTCAACAACAGGTTGTCATAGCTTCTCAATGGAACTTCACATCCTAACATGTGTTGCCCCTGCTCCCTTATCTTATAACCTCTTCTCAATCAGCTGGCAATTTTCTACCAGAATTTTAAATTAAAATAATGCCCTAATGGTGTATGATATGGGCATGCAAACCAAATGAAATACCTTTCCTCTGTCCCAGGATGACTGGTGGTGTTCTTTTCAGGGTTAGAGAGGAAAGAAGGGCAGTGGGGCTGCACAGTGAAAGCACAGGCTCCATAGTTCTTGGTGTTGGAGCATCTTCTTCCTCAGGGGAGAAAAACTAATCTTAATTAAAGATTTAATTCTGTGGCATACTGTTTTGAATTTTCTCAGTGTGAAGCTGACAAACAGCAAGTACCCTTGAGCTAAAGAGTAATTAATAGGTAGATACTCTGAGATTATAGAGACCCAAGGTAAAAGGAAGACATGAGTCAGCTGGGGTGGGGGAGACAGCTTTGCATGGGATCTGTCTGGCTTTGAGCCTGGCTCTCAGCTGTAGAGTAAAGCAGCTCTTTCACGCTCACGAGTATTAGTCATTCATTCAATTACTCCGCCAGTGCTGTGAGTCTTCCTTGGGCTAGTGTTGGACTGGGTGACAACCAAGATGAGTAATAGCAGTCCTTCAGGGAACTGTCAGCACCCCCCGCCTCCTGGGGTGTGTCTAGGCATACCACAGCATGTAGAGGGGGTGGGGGACCTATTGAGGCTCCCGTGAAGGTAACCTAGTCCATCCTGGCTGCCGTGACAATGTCATAATCAGGAGGTTCCAAATAATAGAAAATTTTTCTTATGGTTTTGGAGGCTGGAAGTCCAAGATTAAGGAACTGGCAGACAGGGTTTCTGGCAATTAGCTGCTTTCTAGTTCACCGATGGTGTCTTCTTGCCGTGTCCTCATGTGGAAGAAGGGGCAGACAGGTCCCTGTGGACCGCTTTCATAAGGGTCCTCATGAGGACCTTGTGCCTCCATGGCCCAATCATCTCCCAGAGGCCTCACCCACTAACCAGTACACCATCTCAGTGTACAGAGTTCGGGGGACACGAGCATTCAGAACATACCAGAAGGTTTCTTAGGGGTGGTGGCGTCTGAACTGATTACTGACCCCATGAGCAGGAGTAGGATCTCAGGCAGTGATTGATGTGAAAAGTTCTCGTGTCTGGACACAGCAAGACCTGTCAGGACGAGGTATGCTGGTTGATGCCTAGAAGGCAAAGCAAGAAGTGGGAAGCTGAGCGACTGAGGGATGTGACCATGGCGAGAGGGAGCTGCTCCAGAGCGTGGGTTGTGCTGATGAGCAGAGTGGCAGTTGTGGGGACTGGGTAGAAGGTCCGAATCAATGCAGCATGCTTCAGACAGCGTGGCGTTCATAACTCCCTTTCAGCTTCCACCTCATCTCCCACAGTCTCATGACACATTACTTCCTGCTGTGTCGTTCTTCTAGATAGTGGCACCACTCCTCACTTAACCTGCCTCCCTCCCTCCTACTTCCTCCCTTGGGACGGGACACAGGAAGGCAAGGACAGCTGTGTACAGGCTGGGCACAGGTTCATATGAAGAACTCCTGTAGCTGGGCAGGAGGACAGCTGGGCAGTCAGGTAGTGACACTTGGTAGAAGGCGGCACATGGTGTCTCTGGAGCTGAGAGTCAACTGTGGATCTAAGGAAAGAGCCCTGAAGCCATCACTTGCCCAGGGTCAGTGGCTTTAGACATGGAAATCACATGTGATCTTGGAGACAGCTTCTCTGAGCTGACAGGCTCCACACTAGAGATGGTTTGGTGGAGGCAAGACGGGAATAGGGAGGTGAGCAAGGCCAGGGAAGTGTAGGCAAATCAGCTTCTAGCTCTGGTGGTTGTGGGGCAGCCCGAGGGGAGGGGTTGTCGGGGGTGGGTCTGTGGGGCTTGTTTTTCCTAAAGAATTGGATCGATTGTGCTAAATCCAGAGTGGGAAGCTCTCCGGGGGAGGAAAAGATCAGAGTGCAGAAAGAGGAGACTGCTGACCAGAGCAGCATCGCAGAGCCAGGTGGGGGCTCCCTGACAGAGCCGAAGGACAGGAGGGCTTTCTTCTGGCCACCTGAGTCCAGGTGTCTCACCTGTAAAACCATCCTCGCCTACTTGGTTACTGCCAGACAGTGGTCCTTCTGTCACCCTGGCCCTCCGTGGTTTTCTACCCAGTGTGACCTTGTGTGTCAGAGCAGCACCTGGCTGTTCTGTTCTCAGTCCTGTGTTCCAAGACCTGCTCCTCTAGCCCTGCCCCCAAATTCATCTTTTCAAGCGGAGCGCACCAGATTGTCGGACCACATGTTTCTCTGCACCGCACCGTGGCCCATTGCCCTTCTTGGTATAGTGAAGCATGCAGTCATTGTGAACAGCAGACTCAATACAGTGTTTGTAATAGAGACGGCACCCTCGTTACCTGGAAGAATGCCAGCCCAGTGTTACAGCACCAGTGCTGCTGCCCTGCTGGTGTTCAGGGCTGGTGGGGACACCGTCAGTTACTGAGAGTGTTGGACTGAGCTCATTTTGGCTAATCTCCAATGCTTGGTTATGATTACCATATGTTTTGACCTCTGTGTTTACAGAAAGCCAAACAGAGTTTGGTTTAATCATTGTTAATGGTTGTCCATTTCTTTGCTGCAGGGAATCGTGGGTAACTTGGCCAGTGGAAAATCGGCCCTGGTGCACCGATACCTGACGGGCACCTATGTCCAGGAGGAGTCTCCCGAAGGTAAGCTGTTTGCGGTGGTCAGTTACAAACTTACCAGGAATTTAAATTTTTTCCTTTAGCATACTGTAAATCATCGCTTTGATGAATCACATGTAAGAGAGTAATAAAACATACCGAGCAGTAAAAATCCTTAAGTATATTGTTCCATCCATAGAATGTTTAGCAGACTAATTCTAGTCACTGTGGTGTTTGGAGCAATAACCATGAAAAGCTGTTGAAATTTTTTCCTATCTGATGGTGTGTCCTTTCAAATGTTAGTACAGTGTTTCTCCTTTAAATATTGGTTGGACAATTCTCTGATGTGGATATCAAGTTTATACCTAATTTGTCTGTAATGTTGCAGAGTCACAGATGCCAACTTTCCTAGCTCAGATTCCAGACTCCCACCACCATATGTTTGGAGTATGCTTCCCCTTTATATTGTATTATAAACATTTAGCAATCATTTTGCATGTGAGTTAGGTATTTCTTTTGCCATTAGACATTTGCTTCTTCCGTTAACATGTCCATATTTTATTTTTTTTTGATTTAATAAAATTCTGATAGCAGTGGTAGCAAGCCACTTAGCTCCCCTGATCAAAGTGTGGCTCACAAGCAGTTTTGTAGGTTATATTTTCTCCCCATGTAACTTTTTAAAATCCAACTCTGAGACACTGAATTTCTGGTTCCTTCTTTTTCTTACTGGCTGTTCCATTCTTTGCAGATATGGATGCAGGTAACTATACATTCTCTTCATGGCAGCGCTTGTCTTGTTTTGGAGAGAGGAGAGGCACAACTTTGTACTGTAGCACCCCTCCCCTCATGTTCTGTGTCTCATCCTGTTCTGTTTTCATTTTTCCTTTTCCTAAGTTCAGCATTCCTCCCTGTTTTGTCCCTTAGATGTCTTTTGAGCAGTAGTAGTAAGTAGCTTCACATGTCTCCTGTAACACGTGTACTAGCATTTAACTCTTGTCGTAGAGACCGCGGAACCATTGATAAAGAATACACTCTGAGGGGCTTGCTTGGGGCTCTGCCACCATTCTGCAGAATTTTGCAGACACATTTTGAAAACCTCATGGTGGTCACATCTGGGACAGGTCCACTTTTTAAATTCTCCCTATTGAGTGATGATTTGAGAAGACACAAGAGTCGGAATAAAGGCTTATTTGCAGGAGCAAATGAGAAAAGTCTTGGCCATTCAGTGAGAGAGAACCAAGTGCTCAGAACTGGCATGACTTGGAGAAGGGAGAATGGGTAGCATTGCCCCTCTCTCCTTCCAGCTGTTTTCCTGGGATCCACATGTAGGCTGTCTTGGTGTTTAATTTCTGCCTTTGTGTGTGAGTGGTAGCCAGCCAGTTTGGTTGTACCTGGAGAGCCTTGGGTCTTCCCTGTATTTCTCGTAGGGTTGTAGAAGCCAATGAATCTGACTTCTGCAGGTCTATGGCTGACTCTGTAGTTGGGGAGGCACACACCTTCTGCAAGGAAATCTGCCTTTAACACCCTTGGACTCTCCAGATTTGAGTCTGGGGTTGTTTCCACACTGGATCCTGCTTTTGCTGCTCTTGCCTTGGCCTTGGCTGGCTCTCTGGCTCAGATGTCTGGTGAGGGTTGTGCTGGAGTCACTGGCTCTAGAGGAACAGCGGGTACCACATGTCCATCACGGCTGTTTTCCCCTATGCTGCTGTTTGGTCATTATTGTGACTTCCGCTATTTTGTCTTTGGGTATTCAGTTGGTCCTACTGTGATTTCTTTGCACTGCATGAAGGGCACTTGTATTTTGATTGACACAGGCATTTCTCTTGAATGTTTGCACATCAGGAGTCAAAACTGTACCCAGCGGGGTTACCTCACTGTGATCACTAACAGGCCTGCTTATTAGATTTGTCAAGCAACATATTTCACTGTACTGGAATTTCAGACTGTTGCACATGGTTTTTAAAATAAACGAGAGTATGTGGAAGACTGTCACTTTCTTCATCTGCAAAGTGGGAGTGTCTCTTTCCTCTGTGGGACCACCAACTAAGGACTCTTGGTAGAGGGTTTAGGGTTGGGGCATGGTCTGGGGTCTCTTGCCATACCCTTGGGGGCTTACCTTGGCTACCTTCCCTTACTTCTACACCCCAGGTCAAGGAACTTGTTGAAAGTTCCTTGCTTTAGAGCAGCACCACACCTAGGTGCACTCATGGGATGTGTCAGGGGCCTCCAGATGCCCAGAGAATTGTAATGCAGATGTTGTCCTCTGCCTGGAAGTCCCTCAGCCCTGGAGCATCTTTCCCTGGAGCTACCCATGCGTTCTTCTTTGGAACCAAGCAGGCAGCTACTGTCAGAGCAGGGACTAGCTTCCACTTCCTGCCCACATGACCCTCGAAACCACACCAGCAACAGGAGGGCCTAGTTTTGTGAAGTCCAATGAGAACAGCTAGACCTCCCTCACACTGTGGTCTTGAAATCCTGAGATCCTTATGGTCAGGGAGCCTGTAGCTGGGAAGTGGTCTCAGTCCTTGTCCCTTGAGAGGACATATGCAATTACTTGTACTTGGTTAAATGGAGAAACTGTTTGTGTAGTGTGTGCTGGAGTTGGGATATAATTTTACTGTGCCTCTCCCAGGTGTATAGTCTGATGTGATGTCAGTCATCTACAGGTGTGCAGATGGTAGTTGAAGCTGATCATAGCTCAGCCTCGCCTACAACTCATTCTGCACACAGATGGAGAGAGTACAGCTAATGGGGGCCTGGTTGGTGCCTGGCACTGGACTTGGACTCAGCTGAGTGACCCATTTCTTGGTTCACTGTTACCTTTTTGATTTTTCCTCTGTGTTAATTCATTTTCCAGCCACAATATACCTGAGATGGGGCACTTTATTAAAGGAAAGAGGCTTATTAGCTCATAGTTTTAGAGCATGGAAGTCCAAAATTGGGCAGTCCCTTTTGTTTGGCCTCTGGTGAGGTCCCCGTGGTAGGTAGCATCGTAGAGCATGTCGGGGAGGGGCATGTGACAGGACAGGATGCTGGAGAGCAGGAGGGCTCAATGTTGAGAATTAGCTGGGGTCCCATGAGAACTACACTAATCCCTTCTGAGTGCAGGGCCTCAAGTGCCTAATTGCCTTTCAATAACCCCACCTCTTAAAGGTTTCTCCACCTCCTAAGGTCACCACACAGAGAGGAGTGAGCTTTCTGTACATGAACCTCTGGTGTCATGTATACACTGTATCTAAACCACAGCATCCTTTTGTAGCTGCCGGAGTGATAGACTGGGCCACTGCTTTAAACAAGAGACCTTTGCTGTTAACGTGGCTGTGTGGTTGGCCTGTCCACTCAGCTCACTGCCTTCTCCTTGTCGCTCGTTCTTCATGTCTGCATATACTTGTTCTGGGATTTAGTTGATGTGTAAATATACTTTGTCTTAGTTCTGGGGTTGTTTGGATTGCTGGCAGGAGTGGTGTGGTGAGGACCCTCCTGTAGAGTTACATCTCACCAAGGATGCTTCTGATGCAGAACCATCTCCAGGCACCAGCCTGCTGCCTGTCAGACGCATCTCACTGGATCCCAGAGGGTGACATGGTTTGTCTTTTCATGGTGTGATATCTTGTGGTTAATATTTCATTCTTCAGGGAAGAGAACTGACCCGTGAGGTTTGGGTAGTTTTAGAGGAGTTCAAATGTGTGTGTGTGGGGGGGGGCTTTAAATATTATGTTTAATATCATTTTAATTAGTGACGTAGTATAAAAATAGGTATCTCAGTAAGGAGTCTGTAATTCCATGAGAGTAGTTCAAAGACTACAATTTTTATGTGGGAAGCTATCCTTACTGTGCTTGTGTGTGTGTGTGTGCAAATATGTGTAATACATAAGTGTGAATAGGAGTCTTAGGGTCATTATAACAAACACCACAAACTGAGGGGCTTAAAATGAGTTTATTCTCCAACAGTTCTGCAGGCCAGAAATCCAAAATCCAGTTCCTTACAAGCCTGGTTCTTTCCAGAGGCTCTGATGGAGAGGGTTCCAGGCCTCTCCCTGCTGGGTGCTCCTGCAATTTGAGGCTTGTAGACACACTACTCCAGTGTCTACTTCTGTCACCACATTGTGATTTCCTGTGTTTCTATGTCCACATTTCCTCCTTCGATCAAGGACAACGGGAGTTGGATTTATGGTCCACCCTACTATAGTTTGACCTCATCTCAACTGATTATACCTGCAAAGACTCTGTTTCCAAATAAGGTCACATCACAGGGGCCCAGGGTATTGATTTGAACAAACTTTTGGGGGTCACAGTTCAGCCCCAGCAGTGTTGTCTGTTATATACACACGATGTTTAAGCATGAGTTGTACTCAGAACTGCTGAGGTTGGCCGTGCACTTCTGTTCCCCTGGCCACATGTTGGTGAACTTTGCTGGCTACAGAACCTCACAAGGACTGGATCAACTTGCATGTGACCTTCACACCTCCAAGGGAAATTTCACAGCTGCCCTTTGTTTTCCAGAAAGCAAACTGGATGAAAATCACACCTTTCACCAGGGCCCTATTAATAGCTGCTAATTAGAATTGTGGGTGGTGTTTTGGCTGTGTAATTTGAGTGTCACCTGCTTGTGTTATATGCTTAGTATTCACCGTGCACCCTGCCTTCCCTGACACAGAACCCACAGTATGCCACTGGTTTTTAACTCTTCCTTCAATAAAAATCAAAAGGAAGAGAAGCAGCTGTTGTATGTCATATTCAAGGTGCTGGGAGCCAGGGACTGGCCTCGACTGCCATGCTCCTTGTAGGCGAGGACAGCATGTCCTCAGAGGTTGTGAGACCATTGACCCCAGGACATCACTTCCCCAGATCATTCCTGTTCCCCTCACTCCATGGGTCATGGGCCCATATGGACTGAGGGCTACAAAAGCTCCAAGCCAGCAGCTGCCTCGATGGTGTGGTATTTCTGAGGCAGGGAGCATGCCCTAACTTGCCCAATGTGACTGCACCTCTAAGTGGGTCGAGTGGAAGACTTTAAGGTTGGTGGGGACACACCTAAGAATGGTCATAGACCCTCTTTCCTGTAATTATAACACTAGCCACCAGTGGCTGATTCTTCACAGAACTACGTACTGTCAGATGGGGTTGAAATTGTGGGATAAAGCTATGCTGTGAGCTGCCTTCTTTCACTCTACTACAGAATAAAGCCATGAGAGAAGGCTGGGCCTGCCTTTCTCTGGGGCCCAACTGCGGGGAAGTGGGAGGGGAAAGACCCAGGGAGGCTTAGTGGTGTTTTTTCCTGCTGTGGCCACTCAAAGGGATTTGCAGAGAAAGGCAGTGGCCAGGTGTGTCATGGAAGCAGGGACCCTGTTGTTCTGGTTCTCCTGAGCTTAGTTCATCAGGGACTCCTTCCTTCGGTACTGAATCTTTGATTTCTTGCTGGCTATTAACCAATTCAAAGTTTTAAGGAAAAAGCTCCAAGGCTAAGGCAACTCTCAGTCTATCTAGACCTGCAGGTGCCTGACCAGGAGCCCAGTGGTGGGGACATGGCCTCTGGGAAGGATGTGCTGGCTCTACCTCTCCCCTCTGGAAGCAATGCTCTTGCCCTATCTCTGTGCTCTCCTGACCTTCCCACCAGTGATCGTATCAGCAGCCTGGATCTCCTTACATCAGCTGCCCCCTCTTCTGAAGAGGAAAACAGTGACTGATCACTAGGAAGTCTGGCCCTCTATAGGGCATTTTACCCAGAACAGACATAGACTTAGGAAGGTGGAAAAATAT